TGGAGTGTTCTCCAGACATATCTGATGTGTAGTGTATGACTATGGAATCTGGGTTCTTATTCTGAGGATGAGGTGCTTTCAGCTCCAGATTTTCTGGAACCTGCTGAAATTGACCATTTGATATTCAGGGTCCGCAAGACTCTCAGTTTGAATGAATCTTTTAAGGGTGAGCCTTCCACATCCAGTCGCCACTTCTCTGACCTCAGGAGGAAGAGGGCGACTTTTCCAGTCCATGAGACTATAAAAGACCTCATCAAGGAGGAATGGTCCAGATCGGACAGAAAATCCTCTGCAAAAGGAAGATTTTTCCAGACTGTATCCTTTTGAGGACGCTGATGCTGAAGCGTGGGATTCCGCTCCCAAGGTGGATGAGGCCGTGGTTAGATTGGCCAAACATACCACTTTGCCTGTTGATGCGGGTTCCTTCAAAGACCCTTTGGACAGAATGATGGACTTCAGTCTTTCCAATGCATATGTGGCTTCAGGTACTGGCCTGCACCCAGCAGTGGCCCTTATGTCAGTATCCAGGGTGCTTAAGGTTTGGATGGAAAATTTGGAGGAGGATATTAAGAACGGCAGGAGCCGTCCCTCCATAGTAGACAGCCTGAAGGATCTGAAATTGGCTGTTGACTTCTCATCTGAGTCTGCTGTGGATCTGGTGAGGTCCTTAGCCAGAAATATGGCTCTTTCAGTTTCGGCCAGGAGAGCACTATGGCTCAGATCATGGTCTGCTGAGGCCTCCTCCAAAGGCAGCTTGAGCTCCCTTCCTTTTCACGGTGACATGTTATTCGGAAAGAATCTGGATGATAGTATTAAACGAGCAGCTGAAGGTAAAAAGGCCTTTTTGCCTCAAGACAACCGGCCCAAAGGTTTCTTTCATGCAAAAAGGGACTATTACCCATTTCGTTATAGCAGATTCTACACACCGGGTAAGGAATATGGGAGATATCAATCCTGGATGAGCAGTCAACATGGTGCTAGAGGCGGCAAGTCCACAGGTTCCGCACCCTCCAAGAACCCAAGAAATCTATGACAGACTCATCTCCCTGTCAAGCGGTGTTGGAGCGCGCATGCTCCAATTCCGTGTGGCATGGGAGGAATCCGTAAGCGACAACTGGATTCTGGATATCATCAGAAGGGGATATCTTCACCCTCCTTCCAGTTCCTTCCAAATCACAAAGTGGCCGGGTGACAAAGTAAAAAGGTTTGCTCTCCAGG